GGTACTCTACACTTTTAATATATGAAAGTAAGTACAATAAGTTATTTATGAAAACTTAATGATTAGCTAACAGAAGCTCTGGTATGTTTTTACTTTAGTTATAAAAAGCAAAGTGTACACTGTGTACAATCGTCGGCAAAGCAGCTGCAGTCAATAACGACAAACAGAGAGACACACATGCATATATACACATGTATAAACCCATAACCTTTTTAGGTCATTGGTATCAACTTCGAATTTTTGACAGTGTATTTACGTTTATTTGTCACGCCAAAGTAAAATTAAATTAAATTAGCTAAGACAATTAATCTACTTAAAAGTAATTCCTCTGTATATTTACAGCTCGCCTGGTCGTTGGCTTTGCTCTTTATATTTGTTGGTGATACATAGCACTGAGATAAGTTAAAAAATTGCTTATAGATAACTTATAACACAAACTTTTGTATATCAAAGTGCAGCGTACCACGAGCTCTTAATTAATTCCAATAAAAATGTATGTCACCTAGTCTATATGTACCAAGACACAACAATTGGCACGAGTGCATGACACGCTTAGGTCTAGCACAAAATCCACTGGAGCACTGCTGGTCCTTATCCTCACAGCGAATAGTGTGTAAACAATCAAAACAATGTTTCATAGTTTTAAATTATCATCTTTTTGGATCTTAAAGCAAAAATGATACTGATACAAATCTAAATCATAGTTTTGTACAGTAGTTAAAAATAACGTCCAACGGTGGTACTGCCATATTTTTTTAATCATTTAAAAATAAGAACAACATTTCAGCTGTTAAGGCAACATCCCACACCCCTTTAGGTACAAAAAGCAACAAGCAATAAGAAATATTTATACTTTCTAAGTGTTGACAATATACAACAAACAAAAATTAAGTTAAAGGTATAACGTACTTCTGACTCTTACGAAAAGGATAAAAAATTGTAATGTTATCAAAGTTTCATGTTTAGCTGCTTTTATACTCTACGGATACGCAAACAACATAAGGACACGTAATCAACATAATAAAGTTAGAATTGCAAAGAGTTACTAGTGAAAAGCACGTGGGAATAACATGTGTTCTTAATGTTTTAAACGAAAAAGGCCTCCAAATCAAAGATGAAGTGAGTATTCTTTTCTAATTAACTTAAGGAGAGACTATAAAAATTTTTCAGTTACTCCGTATCCCATTGTCTGTTTAATTTTTTTAATTAATAACTATTTTTAATGTGTGACTTTGTCAGAAGAATATGATTGATCCAAAAGTCATGAAGAAATTTTAAAAAACTATTAATTGGTAAAATCAATGCCAAGACAATAATACGGATAAGAAAGTCTTATTTGTGTATTTTAAGTAGTCCGTAATTAGTTGATAACATTAAGATAGATCTTATTTATAAATACCGTTGAATGTTCTTTTTAACTATTTACAAATTGTCATGAGACATCTCATTTCATTATTTGTGACGTAGTACCAAAGATATTATTGTCACGTAAAACATTAATACTTTGAGGATACATCGTAAAATACAAAGGATCAACATCTACTGCGCATTACTTCCAATTGAAACTACGTTTAAAAAGTAAATTAAACAAAATCTCTTTTATGACTCTACATTGCAGTGAATCAACATGCCCAGCAACTAATCCGTTGCTAATTTGCTTCAGACAATAGATGTATACTTATCATATTATCTACTCTAGCTACTCTACAGACGCAACCACCATACTATATCATGCCTTAAAAAGTCGACCAACAACCTTAAATCTTCTTTTAGCATCGATTATGGTACAGCAAAACAAAAACTATTTTATCCTACCAAATAAAATAAAAATCATGACCATTAAGGTGCCACCTCCAACATAGATATAAACTGGCACTAACTACGGTAGCACAATAACATCTACTCAGTATTCTGCATGAAAAATTTGCAACAGAAAAACCTTGAGGGATAAGATTCCATAACACTGTGCGTGTTACATTCCATGTTATACACCACATATTTATAATTCTAAGACACTCAGCCTTTTTGTAAAAATATAAAGCACCATTATTTAGCGATTTTCAAACATCAAGCTGTATACCTTTTGCAATTGCATGACGTATAACTTCGTTTTTTTGAAGCAAGTTACCGTTGTAATACTCGAACTACGTGTGCAACCTATAAACAAACTTGTAAAGCACTAATCTTTTAACATCAATTCAATATGAATATACACCAAAATTTAATTAGACGTCACTTCGTCTCTGAGCATTATTTAGTGCCTATCTAGTGTCTATCCTCAACTCCTCTGTCCGCCGTGATTGTGTCTCACTACACCCTCGTGTCACTCTTACAAAATATGACCGTTGCAATATATATATATATATGGTTTTAAGTTATTCAATAAATATTAGTTTGTTAATTTCCACAACTAAAATTTTCTCTACAGTTATTAGATGTAAGCAATATCTAAGACTTATTGCCAATAAAATATCAAAATTTTTATTCAGAGATAGTAAAAACGTATAAAGATAATNTGATATATAAACTAATAAGTTAAAATGAAGAGACTTACATATAGGAATGACTTTCACAAGAAGATTAGATAAAAAAAACAAATTCTTGCATGCAACTACAGCATTGTTTGGACAAAACTATCGTAATGTATATTCGCACCGTATATTCACGTAATAACGTCAATATAGTAGATGCGCATGTGCGGTTGGTACCGCTACTGTCCAGACTTTGTAGTATCCAAGTTTATTTCCTCTTTCAAGCGAGCGAAGCGAGCAAGGAGAATATGTATACGTGGATATAAGGTACAAATAGACATAGCGCAAAAATATGTACAGTAGATCAGCGTTACTTTGACGTATGACTTACCAACACCACTCCATATATATCACTCCAAATATGGAACGTTGTTTCACAAACCAAGCACTTTTCCAACCTCCTCATCCAAGATTTGGCTAAAATTTTTCCTACATGTTCGATATAAAAAGAAAACTGATTTTTTTCAAATCCAATTTTATGAAAAATAGAAGCAATCGAAAATTAGAGAATTGAATCATTTTTGGCTTAGAGACTAACTGTTTAAAATTCATAACTCTGATTCTATTTTAGCTAGTTTTTTTTTAAAAGGTAAAAAATAATCTTTATGAAAAAAGTTGTCTTACAGACAATTATAAACCAATTCATATTTTTATAAGCAATTAAAATGTTTCGATTGATTTTTAAAAGTTCCCTCATCCTCATAAATAGTTTTTAATGTAACTATTAGAATTAGAAACAAATGATTACTACTAGAAATTGATTGATTAATGTAGTGTGTTACGCCTTAACAGTGCGCAGATTTTTTCGCAGGCCTTGTTTTCTTGCTGTATCTTACTTTTCTTTATAGTACAATTAGATTATCATTTTTGCCAGTTTAAAACAAATCTCAACGATAAGATAATTATTAAAAATCATTACTTATAATTCTGAGTTTCTTAGAATTTTTTGTTATATTTCTTAAGAATAAGACTTATCTTGTATCTTTCGTATTAGCTATACCTTACTTTCACCTACGTTATCCATTACAATAACCTAATTTCGAATAACTCACATCTTGTAAATCCAACTATGGATAAGTGTAACTACAAAGTCAACTAAATGTAGCTAATAAGCTGACCTGAGTATTCTTTACAATGCCTGCGAGTATTTATTTCGAATTTATCAGAACTTCGAAAGATAAATTATTTGACAGTCTTAATTATAAATAGTGAGTTAGAACTCAAAGAACTTTATTGCAAACCTTAATATATAAAGTCTCAAAATTTTAAAGTAACGGTAAAGTAAATTACTGCAACTTTTTTTAAGCAAGAAACGCAGAGATTTCTTGAATAATAATAATAAAAAAAAAAAAAGATTTTTTGAAAACAAAGTACTTATGGTTCGAAATTCTGTTTCAGGTATCCATTGGAATATTGATCAGGTAACACATTCTTATTTGATCTGTTGAAAAGAAGTTAAGAAGATGTGTAAAAATCAAAAGTTTTGTTTCCATTTTAAAATGTTAACGTTACTCTACTATTGGTGTTCATCTCTTTCAGAGACAACTCGTAAAGTTTATTAAAAAAATTTTAAAAGTGATATACAAAATACATTATTTTTTTAATGTTGCAAATAAAGAGTATAAAAACAAAAAAATTTTTATAAATCTTACTTATCACATAGATAACTTAAAAATAGCAGCCTAGTGGCACTTTTCTAAAACCTCACATGGCAAAGTTTTTACAAAGCTTTAGTAATAAAAGGTACTTTATTAAATCATCTCATAGTTTCAGTTTTTCCTGAAGAATTGGAACCAAAGCGATTCTCATTGCATTGAATGAAGACTATTGTAAAAGTTTTCAAACAAGTAAAAACTATACTCGTACAGAATAGAATAGCATGCTATTGTAAAGTGTGGTACAGTATAAGAGTCGCTGTAAATATTTAACAATGTAACTTAGAACGAAGTACTTTATAACTAATAATATTTTACTTAAATTCTAATAAATGTGAGTACTTGTTTGCTGCAATAGTCTTTCTAATAATTTATTTTTCTTTATTTATTCATGCATTATTATTATTGAATCAAAAGTATTAAATAATAATTTATAAAATAGAACAGAAGAGTTTCTCAGATGTACATGGTATTAAGGTTGTTGTAATGAATAATACTTAACTTACGGTAACATATTGGGAAAATTGTGCAAATGAACATAAAATTTTCAAAATAGAAGAAAAATTTTTGTAATAGTGTCACAAATCGTATGTTATCAATTAGTTAGATTGAACGGACCAAACCTATAATTATGAAATTTTTATTTGGCGCTTTTTTTGGACTTAGAAAATTCTTAAATAACGTAAATGACAATGTTTAGTCAAACTTTAAAGTCATTGTGCCTAATCGAACAACTTAAGAAATTTTTTGTAAACACTTTGCACATATTACTTTCAAAAGTATTGAAATAAGAAGAAAGTATAAAGTAATTTACCAATTATTTCCAAAATCATGAAGACAACGCAAAGAAAGCTAGCAATAATTAATTTGTTTCTTGACTTCTTATCAGAACACGTATTTCTCTCTTGATGACAGTGGGTTTCATCTAGAAACAGAAATAAAAAGAGTATTACTTATTAAATTTAAAAACAAGTGAATATCACTATAAATATAATGAAATATTAAGAAACAATTTTATTAGGCAAGATCTATAAGTAACTATGAAAAAAAAAAAAAAAAATAAGAAGAAACCATGGAAAATTTTAACTAATGTTAACAAGAAAACTTATTAAACAGAGAAGTAATGGATTATTTTTTTCTACTTATATTAATAAATTATTAAATTCGCGTATCACTGAACAATAGAAGATGCAGGTATCTTAAACACAAGCCCACGTTAAGGAAATTATGGTATTAAGATTTGTTTATTGTCACAGCAAATGCCCCAATGATTGAAAAATTGGTTAGGTCGTCAATTAAATGGTATTCCCCTTTGATATAATAAATGTTTGAACTTGTGATTCTTAATTTTGCTCCATAATACAGTAAGCCAGATATACTTACGATTTTCAGTTTTATTACTACTGTACCAATTTTTAGGTTTAGTTTATAAGGTAGAAGTCCTTGCCATTTATTGTGTACCAAATTCACTAGAAAATTTATATAAGTATTATCATCTGATTTATGGACTTCTTGATAAGTTGCCTTATCTATAATGTAGTAAGTCCAACTCTAACCGGTAGATTCTTAAGAATTTAATAATTTCTGTAACAGGGATACTCCTTATGCTATCTAAGTAAAGTACTATCTTTTAAACAATGAATGTTATCAAAAACTGTTCGATTACGTATATAATTTTTTATCTTAGTTTGAAAAATATACAAAGTTTCTATGTCTTCTTTTTAATTTCTAATAATAATTGTAAAAATCCATCATGTTGGACACATATCGATTTCCAATTTTAAAATGAAAAATAAAATCCATGAAAAGCAGAATTTTATCGTTTCTTTCATTTTTTTTTCTCGTTAACTTTTCATGAAGCTTATCTCTGCCATACTTCACTTATTATTTTTTCATTAACCTTGAGTGTAAGATGGCATTTAAGAAATCCTTTTTATAAGGATGTTACGGTTACCCTTGACAATTTCGTCCTATTTATTCAAAGATAGGGGTCTATTTTCATCACACCAGAATATTTCTTGCATTCAAACTAAACAATGATTCAGTATAAAAGGATGCTATGAGACATGTACCTAAAAATAAAGTTTTACACGGATTTTGAATACATTTTCCAAGACGATGATATGCATTAATACCCCACCGAAGCAATTTGACTAGTTTTTAAAAAACCATATCTATTTTTAATTTGTATATAGTATGTAAAGTCTCCTTTTTTTTAGAAGAAATATAAGAATCGTTAAAAGATATGTGAGTACATGGTGCTATAACTAAGGTACTTTTTGTTTTATATGGCTTCATATGATGGTTTGTGTCAGCGCTAGCGGTACAGGCTGCAAAAGTATATAGTACATCACATTACAAGGGATGAAAGTCGATCACTTCTCCCAGTGGAGTAGCGGACAATCTACCGGAAATGATGATTAACTGTCGTCCTGAGTAATGTATACTTTTTTTCTCCCAGTTCGGTTAAAAATTCGTTGCCAAATCGTAACCAGAAGTCAGAAACGTGCAAAAAACGCGGAAAAATAGGGAAAAATAGTCTGCTTCACGGTTTAGGATATGTTTTTGCTTTCGTCTCTCTGGGCTGACTGCTATCTACTAGTCTAAACAACTAAACTGATGGCAGCGTGTATGATCATTAGTCGTATCAAGTGCTGTTGTAATATTGGCACTGCAAAAGCAGATGAGCAGCTGATGACAGCTGATGGTCCAGCAGAAAAAATTATTTTCTATGATAACGATGCAGTATCATGCGTGTTAATGTTTCTGTTGTGTTGAGGTTGTGCATGATGAAAAGCCATAAACAAAAAATATTAAAAAACTGTCTCAAGAAGCGTGCCACAAAAAAGTAACTTTATTCTTTTCTTGACACATTTATTTTATTTTGCAGTAATACAGTAATCAATTTGACAAATCTGCTAAGAATCTGCTTAGAAATCGTTTTTTTTTATTCAATAAATGAACAATTATTAGTTTTATAGCGCCCTTTGACACTTTTTACAAAAACTCTCACTTTAGACTTGACATTATTCAGGAATTATTTAAATCATTAGTACCTGGATAGTAGTAATAATTGTGAATATTTAATTTATAGTAAAATTTTTAAATTTAACATGCCAATCTGTGTTACAAACTGGTTGCATGCAGCTGTTTTCATTTTTATTTATCGAACGGTTAATAGTTGGTTCTTTGATTTTACGTTTTTTATTTGCTGAAATTGCTGTCTATTCCCAGTTGTAAAATTTATTGATGCACTCTAAAGGACAATGTTTTGGTCCTTAAATTGATACTTAGGGGCATCACAAAAATTGTCGTATCTCAAATTTAACTGAGAAACTAATTCAATTTAATCCTCATCAATATGTGACGAATTTTCTCTCCACCTTGATGGTTTGACCAGCAAATTATCAGAATTATTAGCCTTGTTTTTATGAGTAATGTCTTTAAAAATTAAATCGTTGATCCTCATGGAGTCAACTATGTATCCAGTAGCTACTTTATCTGATTGCCAGCCTACTCATTGTTTAATCATCATCATGTTAGAACCTGAGTTTGACAGCTGTGTATGGGAGGTCCTACGGAAGTAATTGCCTGAGAAGAATATGTTTTGAGATTAAAAAAAGAAGAAAAAAATACCTTTGCCCCCCAAATAAGTGTGGTCATCTGCATTGTCCAGAAATTCCATAACAGTTTTCCACTTAAATGGAAGCGATTTGTTTGCTTTGTGCTCTTTAGAATTGTTTTTCAGGATGACTTGTAAGATGATATAATTATTAATATTAATATTACGATTTATGTTAAGCTTTTTTTGTCATAGACCAAACATTCCATTAAATTTTTGGACTCACTTTTTTCTGCCAAATCTTGAAATAACAAATTAAAACACTTTTTTCCAAGGACTTTACTTGGTTAAAATCTTTTCATTTAATGAACGTTTTATAAACTAATTTGTAACAATTAGCAGATTTAATGGGTATTATTTCTTCATGTGTAACTGTTTCCGCCTTTTTATCAAAATCACGAATCGTCTCCTCTTTATCACTGCTTTCACTTGATGAACAGTCATTGAGCATTTTGAATAATATCTTGCGTAAATAAATTCAACTATTCAAGGCTGTCGCAGGTGCCTCTACGTAAGCGATACGGCTGTCTCTTATAATGGCAGAGGAAAGTTGCACAACTACGTCAGGAGCCCCCCTTCACCGAAACAGTCAACCAGTGCTGCCTTAACATCCTCCACCGTCACCGTAGGATCCACGTCTAATGTTGGGCGAGAGTCCTAATGCCGTCAGCGTACGCCACGGCATTTTTAAGTGCCTCAGCAAATGCATCGCGGTAATTAGGTGCGGTGTTCTTTAGTTGGACAATAACAGTTCCTGTTTTCGTCTCTCTGATGGACCCCACGCCCGCCCCAAGCCCAACAGCATCGACCCTTTTCATTGGGGCCAGTAGCTTGGCATACTTTTTTTCCCTTCGACAGCTTTACCAGGATGGCCTCAGGCCTAACCTTCCGACGTTTTACCCCGGTGACATGAGCAGGCCATTTAACGCCTTCAGAGCATTTTTTGTTTTCTGCCTTTTTATTTTTCTTCCGTTTCTTAACTTTTGTCCACTTTTCGTTATTCGTTTTTACGTCAGCATCAGCGTTTTCTGGACACAGCTGAAAACCAGTCTCTCTCTCTCTCCTTCTTTGGGGCATTTTTTGGCGTCGTTTTTGGACTTACGGTTTCTCCCCCCCCAGCCACGTTTTTTCTTGGCCTTTTGCTGTATTTCAAATGATCTTGTGAGCAGAAGAAGATCTTCCATTTCCTCCATCATTTTTAGGAGCCGTCGTTGGGCACCTACAGCTACCATTGCCAACTTGACGTCTCTTCTATGATCGTCGCCGTGTTAGCATGATTCGCCATGAACACACCTAGCTACGACACCGCCTCAACTAGGATATCAGACGCTGCGTCCGCACTCTCACGAACTTGGGTATCCTCCTTCTGCTTTCACAAATCGGTGACACCAAGAGCAAGTGTTTCCGTATCACTTGTTTCGCCTCCTCTTTCCTTGGTTGATTTCTGTTGTGCTATTACTGCAACAGATAAAATTCGTCCCAAGTCTTCCACCAACCCATCTGGATCCCTTAACTGGTGGAGGCTGCCGTCCGCTAACAAAACGTAACTGAAGGGTGGCTTTGGACCAGGTGAAAAATCTCAAGATATAGCATGCCCTGCCATGCTAGCCCACCACCACTTCCTCGAGTATCATGCCCCAACCAAGAAGCAATCTACTCTTTGGAGATGTTTCGGCAGAAATCACGTGGCAGAATGCACTTACCTCTCTGGAAGAGCCGTGCAGCTAAAGCAAGCCAGCAACGCCATTCCAGAAATCCCATCAGCCTAAACAAGGATCTACCGATCCGAGAGAGCATATAAACTGAGCAGGCATTCTACCGTTTTCATATCAGCCCAGCCCAACAGGCTCCCACCAAGCCAATAAGACCGAAGCAGCAGCATAACCAGCCCACCCCTACCCTGCGATTACCCCAGTGTAAGCCAATTGACCGGACCTGGTTCAAAATCCGCCCTCCTGTCTTGCAGAAATCAAAGACAGCTTGGGACACTTTGGCACGTAGCCTAGGTATCACCTTACTGCCCAGGATCTCCCTTTGGCTGCTCATGGATCGCACCACACGTCAAACATGGCCAGCTTTTTACACTCGGCTAAGGACCACTTTTAAGGAGTTCCCAGTAGTAGTAAACTAGGTGATGGGTTACTGTTAAAGTGTAGGTGTAAGGTTCTCCTGTATAATGTCAGCCACAGGCCGTAAGCAAGAGCAAGACCACCGACAACTCACAAACTCTGGCAGAACGAGATAGTACCAGCTGGAATGCACTGTGTGTGCCCTTGATAAAGTCAATAAATGGCCAGATCTCT